CTTGGCACCCTCGCAGCTCCAGCTTCGCATACGTCGTTTGCGTTGGCTGCAAGAGGTGGTCACCCACCGCTCAGAGAATCGACAGCTGCTCGCGGCACTGTTCGTCCAAATGCGCGACGAGAGGTATCCGACAGTTAAAAATGGATTGATTACCAGAGACGGTAGTGGGCACATGGGTGGGAACCCCTGGGCCCTTCAAGTCCTCAATGATCTTAAAACGATTGTTCATGTTGAAAATGGCTCCGAACTCCTCGCCGCCATGGGACACATACATCTTAAGATTTTCGCTGACGAATGTAACAACAAGAACTTAACCGAATCAACCGTTGCCAAGCTCCGCATGAGTACGGGGAGGGGGATATTGATGGGCAGGAGGCAGGTGGAGGAAGGTGGAGGAGATGTTTCTGGAGGCTCTGGAGACCCTGACCCCGCACCCCCTCCTCGAGTCTGGCGTTGCATGGAAACGAAGGCTGATGCCACAGAATGCGGTTTGGAGTTTCATGATCAACAAGGGTGGTATGCACACACGAGGTTCAGCACGGAGGGCAATCATGGACATCGGGCCTTGTCTCGGCTTCTCACCGTCACCACCCAGTGCCCAGGGTGCATGAGCACACACTCGACAGTTGCGATCTCTCGGCAGCACGTTCGCAGATTATTCGTCAAACGAAGTTGCCAATGCGACCGCAGCCAGATACACCATGAAGGGATCCCTCCTTTGACTTTCGGATGTCCAGAATGCAGTGTTAGTTATCCGTCGCTCGCGGTTCTCCAGCAGCATAGTCGCACGCACGTGGACCTCTCAGACGCCACAGTCTCGTTCGATGGCCCCGATAGCGTGGGCGTTGACCGTCGGCCAAAGCGAGATGGACAAGGCGAAGAAGTACCTTGCAGAAGCCTCACCGACGAGCTTGTTAGCCGCAGGCTGCAGCGGCAAGTCGCACGAGCACGCGCCCAAGCATCGATGGCAGAGAAAGCAGGTCCCTCCGAATCAACGGCCATCGTGGTGGACACCGACTCGGAGGACGAGACAGCCGCCGGGGTGATGAAGGGCTACCTGAATACAACTCGACAACAGCGAGCTCTCGAGGGATGCCCCTTCAGCACGCACCTCATGCCCAAGGAGCACCAGCTCAACTACGCGATGATCGGAGCCGCCAAGAAATTTACGCCGACACGGTAAAGGATAAGCCCACGGACCGCGACGTGGGACCACCCAGCCTGCAGGTCGGGCGCGCGGCCCTCGAGGCGATCAGCACCCAGGAGGCTCTCGGGCAGAACCCGCACCCAGTGGAGCAGCTGAAGTCGCTGGACGCCCCCATTCTTCAACTGAAGTCGCAGTCAATACTCGTCGCCTGCGAGACGCTGCGCTAATGGCGGGCGAAGACCGCATTCGGGAGGGGAGGCGCGCCGCCTCTCGGTCGCCACACGTTGGTCGCCAACGCTCGGGTTCCGAACCAGTCAGGCCTCCTGATATCGACGGATTCGATTCTCACAGCTCCGTTCTCGGCCATGGGCAGCACACCGAAGTTGAGACCGCCCCCGAAGACCACCCAGGAGAGGCGCTGTCAGAATTCGCTAGAGGCGATGCTCAAAGGAGCCTGCCACATGAAGGGCCAATGAGCCCTCACCCCAATCCTCCCCCGTCGAGGCCTCCTCCTCCGCCCCCTCAGAATCCCCCGACTAGGCAACAGCTGGCCTCCTTAGGATCTGTCTCTAAGCGCGGTCGGGTACAATTCCGGGGAGAGTGGGACTCTTTGGTGCGTCCCGAGGCCATTGCCGAAACACAGTACGAAGCAAAGGCAAAAGCAAAGGTACTGGCAAATCGAATGGCAAGTAGTAGTTTCAGCTGCGGTAAGTTGTATCGCGAGAGTTCTCAAAGAGGCCCCGCGCCTCGTCTTCTGTCGTGGGGGCATGCTGCACCCTCACTTGAATGTTTCTCGGCCTGGCTGGCCGACCTCTTCCCTGTCTCCCCTTGCTGCCGCCGCCTCCCCGCTGACGCTGTGTCCCTCTTGTCACCTCTGCGTCTCCGAGATGGTGTCTGCACGTGCAGGCCCTCTCGACCCTGTGCTGGAATCTCCCCTAGGGGAGCTCCCCTAGAGTTTTGACGTCGGCGGGAGCACAGTGCCTCCCGAACGCCCTGCGGCCTCAGACCCCATCGAGCCACTCGAGACGCGACCATGCGCAGTTAGCGAGCGAGCGAGCCTCCTCCTCCTCCTCCTCCTCCTCCTCCTCCTCCTCCTCCTCCTCCTCATCATCATCATCATCATCATCATCACCATCACCACCACCACCACCACCACCACCACCACCACCACCATCATCATCATCATCATCATCATCATCATCATCATCATCAGCATCATCATCATCATCGTCATCATCATCATCATCAGCATCATCATCATCATCATCAGCATCATCATCATCATCATGATCATCATTATTATCATCATCAGCATCATCATCATCATCAGCATCATCATCATCATAATCGTCATCATCATTATCATCATCATCATCAGCATCATCATCATCATCATCATCATCCCCCTCCTCCTCCTCCTCCTCCTCCTACTCCTCCTCCTCCTCGTACTCCTCCTCCTCCTCCTCCTCCTCCTCATCATCATCATCATCCTCCTGCTCATCATCATGATCATCATCAGCAGCATCAGCATCAGCATCAGCATCATCATCCTCATCATCATCGTCATCATCCTCAGCATCAGGCTCATAATCATCATCATCACCAGCAGCAGCATCATGATCATCAGCATCATCATCAGCAGCAGCATGATCATCATCACCATCATAATCATCATCATCATCATCATCATCATCAGCAGCAGCAGTAGCAGCATCATTAGCATCATCGCCATCAGCATCATCACAATCACCAGCATCATCACCATCACCATCACCATCACCATTACAACAATCATCACCACCACAACCACCACAACCACCACAACCAGCAGAAGCAGCATCAGCATGATCATCATCATCGTCATCATAAGCAAAATCATCATCATCATCACCAGCAGCAGCAGCATCGTCATCATCATCATCAACATCATCATCATCATAATCAGCATCACCATCAGCATCAGCATTAGCATCATGTTCAGCATCATCATCATCGACATCGCAATCATCATCACCATCAGCATCACAGTCGTCGTCATCAACAGCAACAAGATCATCATCATCATCAGCAGCACCATTATCACCACCACAACCATCATCATCACCAGCAGCATCGCCATCGGAACGCCTATCATCGCCAAAACAACAAACATGATGACGATACGTAACAGTAATAACACCATCAGCATCATCAACTTAAGCATCAGCATCATAAATATCAGCATCCTCAGCATCATCGACATCATCAACATCATCATCACCACCATCATCCTCATCATCGTCATCATCATCGACGTAAGCATCATCGTCAGCGTCGTACTCATCTCAATCCCAAGTCATCATCATCAAGGTCAGCATCACCATCATCAATCATCGGCATCAGCATCATCATCATCGTCATCATCCTCCGCATCATGATCCTCATCCTCAGCAGCAGCGTCATCATTACCATCATCAATCATCATCTTCATCCTGATCCTTATCCTCATCCTCGTCATCACCACCACTACCACCACAATCATCACCATCATCATGAACATCATCGTCAGAGGCGACATCATCATCAACATAAAATCATCAGCATTATCATCTCCGTCCTCATCCTCATCACCACCACCACCATCACCACCACCGCCATCATCATCATCATCATCATCATCATCATCATCATCATCATCATCATCAGCGTCATCATCATCAGCATCTTCATTACAATCAGTTTCACGATCAGCACCATCATCAACAGCAGCATCACCCTTATCATCATCATCCTTATTACCACCACCACCACTACCATCAGAAACCATCATCATCAGCAGTAAACTCATCAGCAGTGTCGCCGTCATCATCATCATCATCATCCGCATCATGATTATGATCATCATCCTTATCATCATGATCATCACCACAATCATCATCATCATCATCACCACCATCATCATGATCAGCATCATATTCATCAGCGCCGTTATCATCTAATCATCTGCGTCATCTTCGTTCTCATCCTCATCCCCATCACCGCCAGCGCAAACAATACCATCATCATCATCATCATGAGCATCATCATCGTCAGTCATCATCGTCATCATCATCCTCCTCAGCGTCATCATCATCATCATCATCATCATCATCATCATCACCATCATCATCAGCATCATCATCGTCATCATCATCAGAATCATCATCGTCCTCATCCCAATCCTAACCCACATCCTAATCCTCATCACCACCACCACCACCACCATCATCATCATCATCAGCAGTGTCGTCATCATCATCACCATCATCACTCTCCTCCTGACCCTCATCCTCATCCTCATCCTCATCAAAACCCATCAACAACACCACCATCATCGTCATCATGAATCAATCAAACAATAAATCAATCAGTGAAGCAGCCATCATCAATCATCAACCATCAATCACCAATCATCATCAGTCATCGTCATCAATCAAGCAATCAATACATAAATCAAGCAAACAATCAATCAATCAATTACCAACCATCAACCATAGCCATCAATCATCATCACCATCATCATCAGAATCATCGTCATAAGCATGAGCAGCAGCATCATCGTCAATATCAGCATAAGCACGAGCAGCACCATCATCATCAGCAGCAGCAGCATCGGCATCATCATCATCAGTAGCAGCAGCAGCATCAGCATCATTATCCGTTTCATCATCATCATCATCATCATCATCATCATCATCATCATCATCATCATCATCATCATCATCATCATCATCATCATCATCATCATCATCATCATCATCATCATCATCATCATCATCATCATCATCATCATCATCTATCCCGCTGCTCTCTTCCCGCCCTCCGCTGGCGGAGCCGTGGAGGTGATCGCTGTCCCCGCCAGCGCCAGCGACGCTGGTGCGCTGGCGGCAGCGGCGGGAGGCTGGGGCAGCTGCAGTGAGCGCGGCGCCTTTGCGGCAGGCGCGGAGTACTGCAAGTGCGGGGGCGGGAGGGGAGGAGAGGAAGGAGGAAGCGGGGGAGGTGGAGGGAGGGGAGGGGAGGGGCAGGAGAGGGGCGAGGCAGGAGAGAGGGGGGAGGGCAAGTTGGGTGCGCTCGCGTCAGATCTGCCATCCTCTCCCGCCTTTCAATTGCGCTGACTTTGTTCTCCATCCGCGGACGAGATGTCATAGCCGACCTGGAACTCCAAATAAGACCTCATCATGTCATGCGCAATCGGAAGAGGAGAACTGCGTGAAGAGAAGGAGGAAGAGGATGAGGTGGCGGATGAGAATGAGGACGAGCAGAAGGCAAATAAAAACAGTGCGCGAAAAATCAGGAGAGATAAAGTATTCATGTTGTGCAACTTTAGAGGGGATGGGAAGGCAGAGGGGAGGAGGATAGAGAAGGAGAGGGTAAGAAAGATGAGGGGCAGAGGAAGAGGAGAGTGGAGGGGACGAGAAGAGAGAAGGGGCAGGGGAGGAGGAGATGTCGGCAGGCATCGGGGGCAGGGAGGGCCGAAAGGCCTAGAAGGAACACCTTTTCTCAACCAAGTGTGTGAGATAGCACTATCATCCAGTCCTCTGGCGCGAGCGCGCCCCAAAGCCAAATTGGCTGCGTAACCACCGTCGGTCACAAAGAGGCGAGGGGAGGTGAGGAAAATGAGAACAGCGGGACCACTTTCAGTGGGACCGACAGGGGCCCCGAAACATCACCGATCCCCCGAGACACCTCGGATGTCTCGCAATAAGCCGGATCCTCCAGAGACCTCTCCTCACTCTCACGAGCCAGCTCCTTCCTCGAAGCCGTCCTCGATCGGCACTTCAGGGAGTTGTTGAGAGCCCGTTCCGACAAGTGGCCGTCTTCATCAATAAGGCACAGTGTACCTCGGCAGAGGAGGTCGGACAGCGCAAGGTTTCCTCGGCCGGGGTCCGCCTTCGTGAGCGCATCTGCCGCCATTCGGCCATGAGGGACCCACCTGATCTGAGAACCTACGGCACACATAGCATCTCTTACCACAGCAAATTCAATCGAGGTACGACGATCTTGCTTCGAGCCAGCACTATTCTTACTGAGAGTATCAAAAACACACTTAGCGTCTACAACTGACAAAGAGGAGACATCATGAGCAAGTGTGCACTGAGAACTCAAGACAACAGAAAAAGGTGCCGACGCGAGATGCCAGTCGGGCCGATTCACGTCGGCAAAGACAAGATCCCTCCACATCACCTGGAGCCACTGTGCTTCGGCAAGCGCGGCCGACAAACTAAGAGTCTCGGCGGCGCTGGTGGATGACACGACTCTCTTCAGACGAGTTGACCTCCAGGCCAAGAGCGAGGCTCTGGCACGGCGATTTCGACGAATCTCCGAATCCGCCGCGACGACGAGGAACGCTCCCTGGGCCCCGTTCCGACGAGCCGAACCCGGACCACCAGCATCAGAGATGGTGACAAACGTCAGAGACACCGGGTCCAGGGGCCACACCACGATATGCTGCGAAGCGGTAGCCTTCAGATGTCTCACGATCTTAAGGCAGACCAGGGCATCTTCCACGGTGGGGGTTGGAAGGGCGGCCGATTGCAACGAAGCTCCTCCGGACACATCCGGTCTGGTTTCTCGGGCAAGCCATTGGATTTGCGCCACCATGGTGCGATATCCCTTTACTTCTTCGGGGGTCAAGAGAGAGGAGGGGTTCGCGCGCCTGTGTTTCTCGAGCCTCATGGGCGCGAGCTGCTCAAGCACGTATTTTTCCTGGTCAACCAGGATCTTCCCCCCAGAGACCTGTTTCAGATGACGCCCAGCGAAATCAGATTCTCCGATTTTCCACTTCCCGAAATTGAACCGAGACTGTAAGCGAGACCTGAACCCGTCCCTCTCCTCTGGATGGGCGGCTATGATGAGATCATCGACCTTAATGAGACAAATCGCTCTGGGGGCCCCCGTACTGGAACGCTTAACCCACAAACAGGGTTCAAGCAACGATTTTTTGAAACCATCAGTGACAAGGTAATCTGTAAGAGTCCTATGCCACAAAAGCGGGGCATCGTTCAGACCGTACACGGGCGCAACGAGCTCGATCAGCTCACCAGGAGCCAAATTCAGACCTTGGCATGGCTCACAAAAGATCGCGCCCCTAGGGCGCCTAAGGCGATCTGATTGGCAGAAAGCGTTCTTAGCGTCAGCCACCTCAAGTGTCCAACTGAGGGAGGAGATCGCTTGGAGAGTCAGCATCGGACTCTCTGCATGGGGGGTCGGGGCGTAGACCTGAAGTTCCCCCCCATCTGGGTCGTGATGACCCTGCACACACCACCTAGACTTAGCCTCGGGGAGCGCCCCTAAGCCCTCCTGGGGCTTGAACCTGCGAACCATCCTGGATCCCAGAACCCGGTCGGGGCATCGGCGGCGAATCAGCTGAGCCTCGGCAGACGGAACAACCCGCACAGCTCCTGACTGGACGATCGCCTGCCACTCCTTTAAATCGGAGAAGTCGAAAAGGCGTCTCTCCTCCGAGGTCAAACTCTTCAAAGAGACTTCCGCTCCTCTGCGAGCCGGAGGGGCACCACTCGTGCACTTGGAAGGGAGCGAGGCAAAACTAAATGACGCTTCCCAGAAGTCCGACTTCCAACCGTACCAAGTGCACAACTCATTCCAGAGCTCGTCGTCCTGAGGATCCTCCCGATTGGCGTACCCAGCAAACCAGCTGGCATCATCTGGGCCTCTAGAGGCCTCGCCTGGTTCTTGGACCGGCAGCTCGGGTCGGACCGGGGACCTGGACCTGTTAGTCGGCCTGGGAGCGAGAGGAGCGGAACCGGCGGGCGACGGTCGAGAAGCCCGGTCCCGGAGGATGCACAGCGGAACATCGTTGCCCAAAACTCCGCCCGATCTCCGATCGAACTCTTGCACGGCTCGCTGAACGCGTCCTGGTCCGCTCGCCTCCTCGACTGGAGTAAGCCTTGGTCTCTGCTGGGGGGGGGGAACCACCTCCACGGGATCCGCGGGTGGAGGAATGGAGGGCGAGGGCAAGGCAGGAACGACAGGAGGGGGAGAGGCAGGAAAGGGAGCAAGAGACCTCGGGAGCGGTGGGGCATCAAGGGCTTGCCTCAGCGCTTCGGGAAGGGGGCCCCATCTAGTGTTTTCGGGAGGCGGAGTCGTTCCAGTCGAGGAGGGCGGCTGGCGACTGCTATGTGAAACGGTGGCCGTTCGTCCTCCGGTGGTCGTACCTTGGTTGACCGAGTCGGAGGGGGGTGCTGCAGCCGCAGGCTCGACCTGCGGCGCCGGCAAAACTGGTCGCTCGACTTGGGCGACCCGAGGAGCAAACGCTTCTCGATCCGGCTCCCTGGCGTCCCAGGTTTCAGGGGGTGGAGGTCCTTCAGCCTCGACGTCGACGGCCCCGACACGACCAGATGGGTTCTGGAGCTCCGATCTGAGACCGGCCAGGGCTTGGGAGTCAAGAAGCTCAGCTCCCTGGGCTTCGTCACGAGCTGCCTCTCGGACCTGTTCAGACGAACATTTAAGCAGTCGGGTGCGCATGGCCACCCACACGGTGGTGCCTTGTTGGAAAACCACGGCCCCGGGACCAGTCCAGCGGGCCCGAGAGCCCTCTCTCTGCTTGGCTCCGTGCGGCTTTCTCCACACATACACCCACGTACCAGGTCGAAAGGCAATATCAGCGTGACGCCTGGCCCGAGCGGCATACTTCAAACGTTCCGTGACATCCAGGGACATCACCGCACGACGTGCCTCCTCACGCAAGAAATGCTTTCGAGCGAAAGTCGAGGCCGGACTCTCAGAGTCCCGTGCGCCAAGCACTAAATCCTGAACCCCGACTTCGTCGACGGCATCGTCTGAGAGAAGATGCTGAGGCATGCGGGGGTTCTCTCCAAACACCATCTGAAACGGCGAATACCCCCCACGATTGCTAAAACGGTTCTTCGCCGAGACAACCTCACAAATCAGGTCCTCCAGCTCCTCGCGGTCCTTAATCGAGGTCGCCTTCATGGCCTTAAACAAAGCGGTCTTGACAAGTCCCCGTGCCTCTCACACCTTCCGTTTTGGCGTGGACTCTCGGCATCACAGACATGATGATACACCCCTAAATTCTCGAGAGCACGCTGAAAGATGGCCTCAAATTCGGGACCCCCGTCGGACATAAGTATCTCTGGCACCCCCATTGGCCGCACCCAGGCCCGAACGAAGCCCGACCACACCTGTTGAGCCGTAGCATTTTTCAAGACCGTGCAGCATTGATAGTTCGACCCGTGATCTATCATATTCAGCACCGGGATATTCTCTCCGAAGGCCTGGATGTAAAAGAGGTCCACCGCCATAAGCTTGTTGAAACGAAACGCCCGAGGAAGCTGGGCTCGACGTCTCCAGTGCGGACGGGCCTCCCCATCGCACTGGGGACATCGAAAAGACTTCGCCACCCACCTGACGATGTCGTCTCTTATCTTAGCAACTTTAAGGGACCGGACAAACTCTTCATGCCTGGGATGACCCAAATTGGCGTGCAATTTATGCACTTCATTTTGAGTCTCTCGGTCGAGTCTCGGCTCAGAAAGACTCCCCGTCCCCGGCGGAACCCTGGGCTCAGGATCGTCCCCTGGAGGCGGATCCTCGGGGCCTGGAGGGGAGGGCGAGGAATCCTCTTCCTCGTCGGTGTCTGAGTCAACCTGCTGAACTCCCTCCTCAGACATTCTGGCAGGATAGGACGGATCGTCCTCTGGCGACTGGCAAAAGAGAGCGCGCGCGGCGGTCAGCTCCACCCCCTTGCAGAGCGCGGCCACGAGGTCACGGGGGCACTGCTGCGACGCCCTCGCCCTGGCCCCTCCCACCAAGTGCAGGTGCTCATGATCTCCGGGGCACTTGCGAGAGCAGATACGCAGGAGATCGTGACTGTTAGACAACAGCCTAGTGGGTTTCTTGGAAACGGTCCCTGGGGACACCGAAAGCCCGAAAGCACACTGATCCATG